GATGCACTGCATACTACAAATGGAAGGAATATGGCCCATGCTATGGACATTAGGGATCTCCTTACTCCAAGTACACGCCTCATTGCTGCTAGGGCTATCTGGTTCTGATCCACTTGGAACCAGGACATTCGCACATATAACACCACCACAGCACTACTCAAGTGGCTGTGGAGCATCATGCCCTTCCTTCCCAACATAAGGATATGAAGAATTTAGAGCCAGAGTCCACTCTGTTCCAAGCATCAAAACCAGATCTAGGCTGTCTTCATAGCCGTCACCTGAGACTGCAGTCACAGAGTTCTTTGCACTCTCACCAGTGCAGACCTTAGACTATATGCAGCTCAGATGCTATGCATGGCTAAATTTCTGAACCTGAACATTGTCTGCACTGCCCCAAGACCAAGGATTCCATATTCAAGTCTGTAGGCTCAGTGGTGTTCCCTGTTTTGAAAAGGAATTATGGAGATGACTACAGAGTTCTAGGCTAAGCCTGTTACGATGAACCCCATCCTCAGAAATATGGAGTCAATGCAGAAAATGAGACAGGAAGGATGTTCTCTTTACTCCATGGTTGTTGTTGTTAATGTTTTTATTAAGAGATAAACAAAAACCATACAAAGCGAACAGAAGCCAGAAAGATAGTACAACTTTTCCAGATATAAAGGTATCAGATCTAACATGTACAAAACCATCTAGTGGGAATATAGAAACATTAAAGGTAGCACTTATTTAATCTAAGTATATAAATGTAAGAACCAAAAGGTTAGGGGAAGAAAAGTAGGAAGCTCAGTCTAGCAAATGGGGTCTCTTTTTTACTGCATACCATCACAAGGAAAAGACCCTGACAGGGGCTGCTATTACTGTGCACCTGTAGGTAAAGAAGGCAGAAAATTTGATATGTTAGGTAGAAAGATCCATGCACCTGAAGCCTTAACATTTTGTATTGCTAATTGTAATGCAGTCATGGGGGAGGAGTTATCAACTATTTCTGTGTTTTTTATGGATTGTTTCCCTGATGTTCAGAAGCAGTTGGCCAACGTATTACAGGAAAGCTTTCCAAGCAACAGATAAGCTCAGCAAGGCATACTAGAGTCTGCACTTAATAATTACCTTGAGGAGGCATACCTAGCTTAGATCCATAACACTGCCTTTTGAAACTAGGGCCAAAATAGAAAGCTTCCCTTTTTAGGGTTCAAAGTTATTTAGTGCAGACACTGATGAGGCACTGGAATGTATAGAAAAAGCAAATTCACTGCAAAATCTCTTGAATCTTCTTGACCACAGGACCATAGATGGAGAAAAAAACAGAGGCCCTATACTCTCCTCTGTTAGAACATGAGGTATACTCATTAGCTGGCTCTGTTGGGTTATAGATACTTGTCAGAGTCTAGGTGCAAGCTGAGTCAGAGTCAAGATTCAGTCCAAAAGGTCAGTTACCAGAGAGCAGAGTCCAGTTCAGAGTGTGGTCCTGAAAGCAAGGTCTAGCAGTCCAAGGTCATATACAGGAGCATGCACTCTCCGATATCCGATATCCAAGTCCAAAGGTCACTAGAGTGGGACAGAATCAGGAGCTGTGGTCCCAGAGTCCACCAGATGACAACTTGCTGCTTCCACATCGAACAGTCTCCTTTGACTGGCATTTATAGGCATCCGTTGCAAGGTGTTACTTGCAGCCAAGTGCTTGAGAGTAAACCTACAGCTACTCATTATCAGCAAGCAGTTAACGTCAGGCCGGAAGTCTTGCTCTTCGTCTTCTCCCCTGGAGCTCCATTGTAAGTCTTCATCTCTGGCTCTCAAAGGATGTGGGTGAAACTGGAGGGCTGATAATGACCACCTGGGTTTCATCTGTTGAAATGGGGCTGGAAGGTGCCTGTAATAACTAAAATACATATACATTCAAGAGATGGAGGTATAAATGTAGTATTTGTAATTGGCTTCAGAAGGGAAGCCTTGGCCTAGGAAACTGAGGTTAAAATACTGCAAACTCTTCTGTAACAATGCTTGCCTTTCATTTATTCTGAATCATTATCATTCACTTTTTAAAAAGGAAAACCTGGAGAAGTAATTCATCTTTTTATGTCTGTGATTCTTGGCTTTTAATAGCAAAGTTATAAAATGAATAATGCATGAATTTTTCATCTTGGTTGTTTGTGTAACTGAAATTTTGAATGACTTACGGTTCAGGTAAATTGTAGTTCCATTTCTGTTCTGCCTGATCTTCTAAATAGCACATCAAAAATCTGAAATGTATAATTTACCAGATTAAATAGAAGAGCTCTGTTAAAATTAAAAATTAAATTGATATTGTATTTTTTTAAAAAAAAAACACCCAAAAATTATAGTGTGCTTTTGCTGTGGAAGAATTGGCTTCATCAAAGGTTCAGTTCAATCAGAATGTATTAATTTGATATATTGATAACAATCGGAATTTATTCCAAAATGACCAAGCAGTCTTTGAGGTGAGAATTCTGCATACTGTTTTACTTTGTTTAAAAGCAAAACATTTGAAGTAGCTAGATGACAAAGATAAAAGTAAATGAAAAAAGGCATTACGTATATGAGCCAAAGGAGATCTGTGTGTAGCAGATGAAATAAGAAACTGGCAGAAAATTAATCTCTATCCCAAGGAAGGTGCTCTCCCTTTTGAAAGATTACTTTGATAGAAGAAGGGTCAAGGAGGAGACAACAAACTACGATGGTTGAATTTCTGGTTGTCTGAAGTAATAGTTTTAACATCTGGATACTTATTTAGGTACAGTTTTCAGGCTGAGGGTTTTAACTATTTTCATACTGTTTCCGTCCCTTCCTGGAATATTGCTATGTTGTCATTGTTTTATCTGCCCTAATGTGTGTTGTGGACTTTTGGGACAAGCGTCTATTTTTTTTGTTCATTTCTGAAGGTCTTCCGTAATTAAGCTATTATACATGGGTGCTATGTAAGCCTCTTTTTAATAAGTTATGATAGGAAGCACTCATCTAGGCCACCACAGATTTCTTTTGTATTGTGTGGCAGAACTAAGATAATTTACTGTGGGTTAATTAGACTTTGAATGCTTTCCTTATATTGTAACAAACTTCCTTCAGGTCACGATCTTTGCTATCAAGGATGAAGACCTGTGAATGCAAGCTTCCTGTTGAACATTTTCAACAGGAGTGGGAGATACAGTTTAAATTGCTAGGATAGTGGTTTAATCCAGCTGCCATTCCTCAGCCTTGAAGTTCATTGTGTGATTTTGGGCTAATCACTTGTACAGCCGAACATGCTATAGCGTTGTTGTGAGGATAAAACACAGATTTTGTAAACTTTCCTAAGCTTTTTGAGAAAAGGGCATGTACCATTTTAGCTCTTTTCTGAGACCCCTTATACATAACACCTGTAAAGGCACCTCTCTGTAGTGTTCAGAGGTGATTTGTCTTCCAACTGGTTTTTGCTGCCTCCAGAAGCTCTTGCCTTAGAATTCTTAGTTGGACCTAAGGAACAGCATGGCTGAGTTATATATGATAGAGTGGCAGAATGGTTAGCACATGG